GCTGCACTAAAGCTGGCCGGAGCCTGCTTTGGTGCAGGAGTCTTTTTTGTGGCCACTCCTGCCGGTAGCAGAGTAGCCACCAGCTCCGTGAGCCTGCGAACTTCGGCCAGCAGTTCCCGGTTCAGCTTGCGCTGCTCCTCGAGTTCCTGCTGAATGGACTTCTCTCGCGCTGTTTGCGGTGCCATTCCGAATTTGGTATTACAAAATACCTATTCCCTAAAACAAGGTCGATTTCGTAAGCTCGGTGAACCGTTCTAGTAAACTAGTCTGGTTCACTAAACGTTGATCACTATTGCACTATTTCCACGTGCAGCGGCTAGGCATGCAGACACTTCCACAGCACAACGTGTTCTCTGTCAGAACGATCGATCTCTACTGTCCCTCTGTCTGGTTCTCGTCGTCGCTTATATAGTTTCTTCCAGGTAACCCAGAAGGTTCTGGAAATCTCCAGACCAGGTGCGATATTTCCCGCTTGTCAGTGTCATATTTGACAGTAAATTGGGCTCCCATTTACTGAAATACCATGAATTTCGATCCCCCCATTCCAAACGTGAGTACCCTAGGCTATTTCCGTTACACTGCCCCCCTTCTAAACCCTGATCGCCCCGATTAGGTAATTCCTGGATCATGGTTATATCTGGTCAAACGGTAAATGTGGACAACTTTAAATTTTGCCGGAGAGCTCTTCTGATTGCTCCTCAACAGTTCAACGCCGCCGGCGTCGCGCGGCTTTTTGCTGGTGTTCTCTTGTCGTACCGGGTTGTCCATCCGTTGCATCAGCGTCCTCACCAAGTTGAAGAACTTTCCTTTGCGCTGTTCGCAAACCATTTGCAAACTGGCCCATGCAGACACCACTTCTTGTTCTCTATTTGTGATCTCTTTAGCTCGGTCGCTCGCGTAGTTGGCTCGAAGCTTGACCGATTCCTCTTGGATCTGTTGCACTTGGTTCTGAAGCGTCTGTAGGTCTTGCATGAAGTTCTGATGTTTGCGCTGCAGCGTTGAAATAGAACCAACATCTCGGCCCGGTTCATGAGAAGAGACCACCATTTCGCGATCAGCTATCCACTGCTCCAAGTCGCCAAAGACTCTGTTGAACAGGAAGAGCTGCAAGGCCTCATCCAGATTAGCGCGTCGTTCTTGCGCCAACTCCTTCAATCCGGCATATAGCTTGTCCAGTTGCGGCTGTTTAACAGCGACCTGCTCGGCCAAAGGATGTCCTTCAGCCGACAGGGCCTTCACAGTTTCACCCAGTCCTCTGATCGTGTCCGCATAAGCTTCAACGGCCGCTTCCAGACTTTCGTGCTTCTTCATGAAGTTCCTGGCGCTGGTCTCATCTTTGCCCCGATCTTCCACCATCATGTAGAGCTCC